ATAGAGAACGATAACTAGAGCGGGCAGCTATGTAGTGGGACGGGAAGCTCAAACTTGGCAGAACAAACATTTGTTTCAGTGTTATGAATATGTTGCTCCCGTCTCGTTATATTGTGTCGTTCATAGGCTATGAAGGCTAGGCGGGCCGTAGCGCGTGAGGGCCTCGAGCGGAAGTGGCCTGCTACCTACAGCCAATTAGTCAATCCGAATAACCGCAACGTTATTAATATGATGATGATTATTATTAGTCGGTTTCTATCTCTAGCCCTTCCCCGCTAAATAACACTCATTTGGCTCCTCGAACGATAATAAATATATTCTCTCCCTCTCTGCCGTGAAGTGAGAATTTTTTTGTAAGTTCATATCATAAATATGTAGCTAGCATTCTTTTCTCAACACAATTAGTTTTATTATAATTAATATTACTACTACTGCTATTATATGTTTAGAAATATAGAAATTCTATTAAAACGCTTATCATATAAGCAGAGCGCGCCAGAGATATTTTGAAACCAAAGCAACGTGTCATTGTAATATAGATAGATATCATCATACTGTTAACATTATGTGAACATAGGCATACAAAACGGCGACAAAAACAGTATCTATGGAATAACAAAAACGACTGTAAAAATCTGGCCTTCGCCGTAATATCAGTAGTAGGCATAAAGCAGATTGGAAGCACGACGACGAGTCAGACCGTAACGATTAGGAAAAAAAGGTCATTTCAATGGCGCCTTATTTATCCTTGTTCGAACCGTTCAGGTTTACGTGTGTTTGTAACAGTAGTAAAAATATCACAGCGATCGCGGCGTTTGTCTTATGTAATGTTTGTTCATATTATTATCATGTCATTATATCACTCGATTAGTCCGTAGTCTGTGGAATTGGAGTTATTGGAATCCTGCTTACTTTGCTCCCCAGTAGAAATACGTGAGAAAACTAACGAGACGCGGTAAAATTCCTAGCGTTCATAAGAGCTATACAAACAAAATGAATAACGCTGGTCGCCACCCGAAGTCGATCATTCATCTCTTGTACAAAGTAATCTCGCTACACACTGTGTTCATTTTGGGTATATATACATATATATATATATATATATACCTATATATATGTGTATATATATATATACAAACATTACAATATTAATAACAACACACGTAAGCAACAAACAAAAAACAATTACACATATTGCGTGTATAAGTACGGCAGATGAGAGGACGACACTAATGAACGACCTTCGATACGGCTGTTGATAACAGTTATACTTATTACATAGAGAAACGACAAAAAACTAAAACTGTCGAAGGAGTAAAATGGACATGAGCATCGACCACACAGAGGAGCATGAACAGCAACATCACACAATAACAACAAAACTGAGTAATAAAAAAATGGAAAAAACGCGAAGTAACATCAAGAACACCACCAATACTATTATACGATGTATATGCTGTTATCATGCGGTAAAGTATAAAATAAAAGTATACATTGGGTCAAATCGATAGCGTCTTCCTTTAGTGAAATATAGTATGTTAATTTTTTTTTAATTTTTTAATTAATTTAAATTGAAATCCGTAGCTAGTACGAGTAAAATACTCTATTGATAAAACTCTATGCAAATGTGCTCCCTTTAAGGTTTATAGTTATCTGTTTGCTTAATGCCGTTATTCTGAATTAGCCCGAAAAGGTCCTTAACATGTTTATTGTAGCTCAAATCAGAAAAAAAGGTGCTTACGGTCTCAGAAGCCATTTTCGTATTACAACTTCGGCGCGAACTGCACTTAGCAAAAGAATGATAACATTGAGTATAACTTGCTAGCTTTGGAACAGTTGCGTCGCGCTTCTAATTTGACAGTTTTGTTTCAACAAGCCTATGAGAAGCCTTAGTGATAGGACAAAACCTTAATTAGCTCACTCGCCAGCAATAATACTAACGATGAGATTAGGGTATGCGTTTGCGTTCTTCGCTAAAATCTTTTTTCAAATTTTTTTCCTTTATAAAAAAGTATCATGAAGGCATTAAATTTCTAAGAATTTGCTTTCGACCGAGCTTAGTCTTCGAAAAAAAAAAAAAGCAATAAATCCGTGCGCCGCAATGCCCCAAAACCCTCTCATGCGAAGCGCTATGACTGATTCTAGGCTTTTTTTCATGGCTTTACAAAGATCATCTTCTTCTTATGCTTCTTAGAACTGCTTTAAAAACTTCTTTCTGATACTGGTTTTCCCTCTTTTGTTATAGTTAATGGAGCTCGTATATAAGGCATTATTTAAAAAAGAAGAATGAAACCATGATTTTGGGCAGATCACCAAAAGCAGCGGGAAAAGTAGGAGAACTCGAAATTAGATGGTAAAAAACAGAAAGGAAAATAATCTAGTACATAGGTGTAAGGAAGAATGATTTTGGTTCGAAGGTAATGTCGGGAGAAAAGTTGATCAATATTAGAAAAAGGTAAGCAGCCTGTAAAAGAAAGATTATGGCCCTGCATGTACAAAACATCGAGAAAATTTGCACTCGTAAGTATTAGAGAAAAATTTCCCCTCTTTTTCGGCAAAAACTGCGCTTTTCCTACCAACATGATTTCCCTGTATAGAGCGCACCAAGCAAAATTAGGGACCAAATTTAGGGACATATTCATATATATAGACTAAGTTCCTATCCGGAATTTACAAACCTTTTTTTTTGCTGAAAGCTAGCCATCTGAGTTAATGACTTACCATTTAAGTAACGAGTAATAATTAATATAACAAAGAATGAAGAGACTTCCTAAGAGGAAGTTCCGGTACACTTATTACGGATTGTAACAATTTTTCCCAAATAGTCCGTCATCAACAATGGAAAATCATCTTTTCCAATGCCTGCAGGTCTGCTGTGCAATCTAGCATGCAATGGGGTTGCAGGCTTAAATGACACACTGCTAACAGTGGACCTTATAGTAAACGTGGATGATTTTGAAATCATCATAGGCGCGTAGAAACCAAAAAAGTTTAAGCGGCACGTAAATGAAGCTTTTTTTTCTGAGATCATCATGTAGATATAATCAATCACAAGCTATGGTTCTTTATGGAAATTGTTTCCGAATATTTCACTATAGTTCGCAGGAGACAACATGAAAATGACGAAAACAGCCGGGTATCGTGTAGAATATCCGGATAAAACCATAAGGTAATTTGAGACAAGTGGCGCCGAAGTTTACCTAAAGAGCTCCTGAGCTTAACAAAATAATCTGCAATATTCATGGGCCATGACAAGAGAAAAGAAAAGTTATGTAGTTGATTCAGTGGGACTCTTCGAAATCCTGGTTTAGACGAGACGAAAACTCTCTTCCAGGCAGTCCAACGAACGCCTACGCTATGAATCGCCTATGTCTATGGGTCTGCTAGCAGCGACGTAGCCCTAGACTGTATTGACTAGACTCAATATCCTCGGAACTCAAAGTGGAGAATCGACGGACCCCACGGAGAAGCCTGGAGGACGATGCACGATAGGAATCAATGTCTGTCTAGAAGGACGGATAGAAGCCTACCCTGAGGAGCTCTTTTAACGCCACTGCCAGAGATCATTCCGAGAATTCAGCCGTGAATGGAAAGCTCTTTTATCTCTTCACACGATTTATCGTCGGATGAGACAATTGTCACAAGTACCTCTTCCGTATAAGAAAGCACCATGTGACACGCGTTGTTAATCGGAACCCTGAGCTCAATGTCTCGCATGCACTGTAGAAATGCCGTTCGAAGCATTGGGCTCATAAAAAGCAGATTAATGAACTCATAGGTGAAAAGAGCTACAAGAGTAGGTATACAGGGATTTGTCATCTATGTATGTTAACGAAGAAATGTAGAAACAAAAAAAAAAAGCCCTAACATGAAAAGTACTGTCGAAAAACGAGTTGCTAGAAAAGAAAATACGTCAAAAGGCCCTTAGATGTTGTCAGCTGAGTTGGACAATGTCGGGATGATGATTCTGTAAGCATCTCGGCTTCAGCGAATTGCTAACTAAAATAAAAATATGCTTGTAATCTTACTCCGATAACCGGAGCGCGGCATTTTACCGTAAACAAAGTAATTTCTTCTTTACTGATTAAATTCATATAATTTCATATTTAATTTTTTTTTTGTACAACATGTTATAACCGGCAAGGTGAAATTGCCAATAATCTAGAAATATAATAAATCAAAATTAAGTTACTTTCAAGTAAAAGCTAACTGGAAAATCGTCGTACGTACTGGCCGTTAACCGGGAGAAGCCAGGCATGCACATACGTTTTCTCTTAATAGCAGCCCCGCATGGGGTGGCGTATTGTAGGTTATGGGGAGCTAAAAGCTGACCCGGTGTCAAACTCAAAAACTTATGTTATGCAACTCAACATCACTACATAAGAGCTAGTTGCTTGATAGGCATTCAAGTATTTCTATGTTCTACTAGTCTTGAGCGGCATCGGCCAATCCAATGCAGGTAGACGTCTACTTATGTTTTTTACCAAAACAATGCACGGTGGCTATGTAATAGATTATGTACGATCTTATTGCAACTCCCAGATCGCATCTCCTCCTTACATGGGAAATAGATATATTAACTATTCAGCCCTGAAAGGGCTGATGTTAATGTTGGCAGCTATCTGCAAAAAGCACAGAGATCTGCAAGCGGATTCATTTCAGTTACATTTGGTATGGCCGCCAAATGTCGTCCTAGAATAGGCTAACACATCAGAGAAGTTGGATGAACTTAATCAAAATGACGATCCATTTCTACTAATTGCTTTTCTTCAGATGTTGATATAATTGTGCTCTACCTTCAGTAATATTTTTATCACTGTCATAACAAAACGGAGCTTCATTTGGTAGCTAATGTCGCACAAAATGAATATTTAGTTATTACTTCTTTATGGGCTTTTGCAGATAACTCCCCTGTCAGACAGAAAGATGCTGTCGTCTAACTAGGTTATGGGTCGCATGTTTTCTATCGTGATAAAAAGTGTACAGGCCTGACTCAAACAAGGATGTTACTGAAGAGAGTAAACTTCTTCGCAAACAACTGATTTGAGCTAGATAGCAACTACCACAATAACAAGATTGCAGCATCTAAGTCTGATGTGATACTGACTTTGATTCACCCGAATCTCGAGCTGACTCCTGTATTTCGATGGCCATTCGGGATTACTGCGAAAGTACCCGCTGTCCTATACATGCTCTTTTTTTCACAACCTGCGATGTTGAAGCGGGGCCGTAATGCAGTAAACCGTCATAGGCCCGACTGCTAGTTAGAGGTAGATTACTTAGCTGCCCTATATTTGTACGAGGTCCAGCGAATCGTGTGCAGTTTAATCGAAAGCCCATCCAGTAAATATTACTTATTTAATAATGGTATTTATTTGTTTACATAATAGGGCCTAGGGCTTTGTTTCATAGAACTGACACGCTACATGGGATTACGGCAAATGATTATGGGCTAGATCAGCCATTGTCTAAATGCCGCTTAACCATATGGTAGATATAATCAGGGGAAGATCATTTGTCGAAAACAACTGACGGGTCGTTCTGCTGTTCTCTGTGAAGTTAATGGAATATCTCAAACTTGGAACTTGCAACCTGCCGATTTTAGATGTCGTATTGTTTTACTTTTTCTATATATTGTTAACTTTGCTGACTTCTCACAGCTGATATAAACCCCGTTCGACACCCCGTACCAAGCAGATTATCCGTTTTTTTGTAACGCAGTCGATATTCGGTATGCATGTTTTATGAAAACGAACATCTTTGACCGTTTACTTTTTTATGATTACCCTTAATAAGAACAACAACATGAACTTAGATCTTCATTCGTCTGTTATTTTAATTCTCAGTAATTGGATGACTTCAAAATCATTTCAATAGGATATATTCATTGCTCACAACGAATATTTCCCGAGAATATATGTTTATGGTTTACTAATACTCGGTGCCGCGTTTTTATGAAAAAGCACCTGTGTTTACCACAGCAAAAAAATATGCAACATAAAGGCTCACTCTGATGTGATAATGAAATCATATGTTGTCGGTCTTGTTGGTGGTGTTATATAATAGGTCATTATCATTGCATGCCATTATTTGATTTTACTTGCAACTGCTTGCAGGATACGATTGACCGCAGAGCCACTTGGTGCGGCTCCCAAGGTATTAGACAAAATCAGATTACTCGAACCTGCATCGGACTGCACGCCTGAAGACGGCTGATCGTTGAACATAGCTCCTGTGTCCTCAACTGTCGAAACAGCAGATCTAACGTCTGAGTTTCTGACGATATTCGCCTTAACATCGGGCATTGTCATGACTGTTGGCGCTGTATGTCGATCTGTACTGAAGAGTTTTGCTGGGTTTGCAGCAGAAACATCGTCTGCTAGACTGCGCGGTACACGATCGCTTGATCGGATCGGCTGTTCCAGAAGCGCCGGACTAGACAACATTGTATTCAAAATCGAATGGGTCGAATGAGCCGCTCTAGTCACAATAGGAGCAGCCGAGCTCCCAGTAGCTTGAGGAACAGGTGAATGTGGTAGGTAGAGCTCTCGAATACAATAGAGAGAAACTCCTGCGCCTATTGTTACAAGTAATACTACGACAGTTGCCGTGATAACACAGAGTTTCGCTGGTCGTTTTTTTGTCTTCTCAGTTTTCTTCGATAAAGTTCCGGTTTTTAGCAGCGGAGTTTTACGCGTCATTGATTTAGTTGGCGTAGATGGGACAACCTCCTTTGACTGCGAAGTAGTCTCTCCAATTACTTTGGTAGCATTTTTCGATTCGGATATATTTGGTACGGCGTCTTTTTTCGGCGAAATTACGGGAACAATACTTCTTGCCACCATAGCCGTGGCAGGCACATTCGAAGTTTTTCCACGTTTCTTAGACTTTACCCTCTGATCAGTTTTCAAGTCGTTCGATATACTACGTTGTGGATCGTTAGAGTTTTTAGATGCGCTGTGTTCCTCGTCGACCTCCCCGCTATTTTCTTCTTCCTGAGGAGAAAGCGTTGGATCAGATGGCAAATTCATGTCGCAGGTCGTATAAAGCCGTCGGAAATAGAAAATGCTATTAGTTTTTCAGCCCTCGCTTTCTGTGACTAATCAACAAATTACTGCTGTTTTTTTTTCATTTCGAAGATCGTTGTCGCAGATGAAAGAGGCGTAATATAGAAATACTATGCATCGATCCAGGAATCGTCGGAACGTATCAATGTTTCGCCTAGCAAGATGAACCTCATTGGTTGCTATCAAATCCTTCTTTTAACTAAGCGATCACCTGTACTAAAACTCTCGTGTTGGTTGTGTTTAGTTTCAATACCTCATTAGAGCACTGAGCGGGCAGAAATTCGGAAGAAGCCCAACGCAGTTTTTTTCTTTCTATCTTCAACGTGTTCACGGGCTGATACTGTTGGGTATATTGCACTCCATACTGCATTCATACGACCGCATACATTCTTATCGCAAGGGGGCTGAAATGGTCTCATCGCGTCTACAGGCTCGCTGCCTAGACGGCGGGTGCAGCAGAACGCCAGTTCAAATCTACCAGCGCGCATATGTCTCAAAATCTTATGGAATATAGTAGAGCTCAATAAATAGGATATTTTTCCAATGGCGGTGTCATAATTTACTTTTGACAGATATTTTGGGAAATAGGTGAGCGTGTAGGAAATGAAGAACTGAGAATATACACGTATATAAGAGGGCTTTCTTTGTCTTATTTCATAGGAGTCAATTAATTAGCCGACGGTAACTGGTGGTAACACGTCAAATAATGAAGAATTTTAATTTGTCAAATTTCAGTTTTTAGTTACAAAGCAAAAACTGCTCGAAAGCATTATTGTATGGCTGGAGACTCAGGAGTGCTAGCGTTTTGGGCTTTGCTCTTTCAATTCGTACCGTCTTGATCAAAGTCAGGCTTACAAAATACTGAAACGAGTTTCAACTGTGTAGCAGAATAAACTACCGTTTCTCCGCTAAATCAGCTGTCTTGGCAGAATTCGAGAGACGTAGTCAATCCTTTAACCAACGTTATCTAATAATAGTAGACAAGTGATTGTAATAAAACCGGTGACACTATCACGCTCAAGTCTAAGAATAAAGCATACTTCCGGATGTAGTTATAACATATGTAAATAATATATGTGTCAATAAAACCAAGTGAGAATAATATATGCAAGGTCGTCTTGCCAGAGTATAACTATTACTGCATGTCTTACTTCAAGACAAGGCGAAAGTACTGCCAGCTTCATTGTTGACTTGTTCGTCAACCCCACCATTTTAAAGTTCGATATGTATTGTGCAGAGTAACACCCAGAAGAAAAACACAGATCATTGCACAGCTCATGATAATGATATGGGTCTTTCAACTACCGCTTTTTGTCTAGAGTGAAATTTCTCACTGTCTGTACCTTCCTTGTAACTTGAAACAATTGCACATATATAATTAAATCAGTTGCATATACTTTATTAAACGTAGTTATTTTTTTCATCGTTCTTAGTAGTATTACACAGCACGCCTTATGTGGAACGACAGTACCATCATTTGCGTGAAGATATGCGCCCGTTCTCTGTAGTCAATCATCTGTATTACCATCAGGAGACCTTATTTGATGAATGTTGATACTTTACGCAAGTAACTATAGGCCGGCTAGCACTTAATAAATCAAAAAAACCTATCATCTATGATTTTATTTAACAACCTTGTGCCATACTATTATGAATAATATATCTTAATTAAGATGACAATGCACAGCCATCATTTAATGAACATTAAGAATCTCTCTTTCGAGAAGACCTTTCGCAATTAATTAGTAAAAAATTACCATTTTTAAGCCTTTAACGTGTTCACAGACTGGTACTTCTGTACGCATAAAACAGAAACGTCCTAGCGCCTCAAAGGCTATGTCACGTTGTATAATGTAGATCGCGCATGCGCTACGGTACACTTCATTTATCTTTATTTAACGACGGTTTAGGCACCTGTAGAGGTCGTACCTTCAGTTTTGTACCTGACACGAGAAAGTTATACTTTCATTCGAGCCTAATGATAATAATACAGTCTTCTCTGGAATTTCAATGGGTGTCGTTCTCGTTCTGTCCTTTCGGCGCTTTCACAGCACGCACCGTGTAGATTTCGTCTTTCATCCACGTGCGGTAACAGCGGATGCTACTGTCGTGCCAGTGCTGTTGTAACGATGAGGTAAAGGCGGTCAGTGCATGCAAACTCGGCCAGTTGCACTTCACTGTTGTTGGTGTCCTTAAAATCTATCGGCCTCACGTCGCTAGCTAGTTAGTAAATGCGGAAGGTAAGCGTACGTAAGCAGCTCGCAGACTGCAGATATAGATACCTCAGTTGGTACTCGCTTCATGATTCGTACGCATAATTGCAACACAAATGTAAAGCTGACAAGGTCTCTCAAGGTATGTCCCAAGGTAAATGAGGACAGAATAGGATACAGCTTTGTATTCATAATGGACTTATAAAACTCCGAGATAACTTAGTTTCCTTATAGTAGTTTCTCAGCTACGTTCTTTTTTATTAGTTCAGCTGCAATCATATGCAGCAAGAATCCCCTCGTGGTGAAGTAGTATCACACTTGTAAGTTAAGAGCAATTTATTAGCCTTTAGAGCCTTTCACATTGTTCGGTGTGAGTTGTATCTTGTCACATATTCCCCCGTTTGTTTGACACTTGTGTCACGTATTTCTTTAGATAAACATCCGTAGTGTTCGTATCGTCTGTCCGGGTAAATTCGCGAAGCGGCCTTTTAAGAAGAAGGGCCATGTCTATGGCAAGGTAGGCAGGATTGATGCTGAGACCCAGTTTCACCTGTCGGAGTATTATTCTATGACGCTCATCTTCAAAAAGTGTGTGTCGGTTTTTTAACTAAAATAAATACAGTTAATCTTACTTGATTTTTCGACATCGAGTGCTTTGAGTGTCACATGAGAACTAGCGTGGCGCGCGAGTTAGGGTAAAATTTGACAAAAAGTATAAACTTGATGAAGCTAATAATAATCGTAATATATATATATATATATTACAGAGCCCTTTTTAATGTCGCTTGTTATGCATTGCAGTTGGCCACAATGTTTCGCGCAACATTTGCCTTTTTTCAAACAGTCAGAAAAAAATTGTTGTCAATACTGATACAGTTTATAGCGCAGGTTAGCAAAGAAAACGTCTTTGATAGGTTAGTAGGTATGAATCTTTCTTTCAAAAAAAAAAAAAAAAAAAAGTTGAACTTTGTATGTTTCTACGTCTACTGATGTCTATTTTTGTTTTTCAAACGTTAACTGTTCCTTCGTGAGAGCTAAGTCAGGTAGGATAAATAAGCCAATGGACGAATAACAAGAGAGCAAACAAACTGTAAAGAACGGGTTTAAGTATGAATATTGGAAGAACTTTGTCTACGTTAAAAGGCCTGAATATCGAATAGGGGAGGAATCAGTAGCAGACGTCAATTCGATGTTGCTTATGTATAATATCTTTAAACAAGGACTGGCTTATAGTTAAAAATGGAATACTTCTGGAAAGGAGGTACTTCCTTTATGAGAGGAAAAGCTGAGGCCTTTAATGGACAAAAAGGAAACTTATTTTTAGCGAAATAGTTGAATTCACGTTGACATATTTATGGACGAGATCCAAGTGAGCGATGGCCAGTATCGGCAAGTGACCAACTAAAGGGCATAAAACAACGTTGCCCACATATTCGTCTTATGGGTGACCACCTATTTTGTTCCAGGCCAGAAGGACTATAAACTCTCCCTAAAAATCTGCGCAGAATATATTTTCATATGTCATACGACGTGAAGTAGCCTAGCCTTACAGCCTAAATGCCATACATTTAGGATATTTTTGATACGTAAGCTTTAAATGTACGACAAGCAGATGTTTAATATATTAATGCATACTGCTAGCGCTTTATCAGTTCTTTTCGTTGCAAAGCACACAGCTCGATCGATCTTTTCGCATTAGTTCTTTCTGCTGGGGCAGAAGTAGCGTGACATTCTGGGCGCCGTGTTTATGAATGATTCGAAAAACTAAAGCAAATAGCGTTGCGTAAAAAAAAAATAGATGTTTTCATTCTATGTGCGTTATGATCGTTGCCGGCATCCGATAGCCGGAGTTTCTATGCTGCTACGTTAATAATCTGTCGTTTTTCGTTTGACCTTACTTTTAAGCCTTACGGAACATAGCGACAACTCAATTGTAAATTTCTTGGATTATGTTGCATAGTTCAGACGGACTACATATAGTTGCGATTACCTACTATTAACGGTAAATATTCGGACACATATTTAGTTTATTGGATTACACCTTAATACTTAAGTCAGAAAGCTGTGCGAAGAACGGAAAAGCCGCTGACGCAGATGGACCCACGTCTCTAAGCGTACGAATCATGTAGAAGTTGCGTTTAGCCATTGGCTAAATGGCCAAATGCCATTTAGCCTGTGGTATCGTGATAGCTTTCTAGATGACGATTTGCTATATATATATATATATATATATATATATATAAGCCGACCATTATCAATGCTATACTGGCTAGAATGGTACTTCAATAACTTTGAATATAAGCTTTGGGAACGAATGCATACATATTTTATAGACTCTTTTGCAATATAACAGATAACAAGTGAAATTTTAATCACTCAAATTTTTGAGACACCCTGTAATTATGCGAACATTATAGTATGGATTAATAAACAAATACGCGTACAAATGCAATAAAAGTGCTTGTAAAGCACTCATTTCCGTCAGTAAAGGGCCGATTCATATATATATCACTGCGTGCTACAGTGTGTATTTATATACAATGTAGTGGTATAACATTGCCCTAACTTCCAATCTGTGGACACGACCGGACTTATCCGCGCTGGGGCACGAATAATTTTTCACCAACTATAGATTCTGCCCGGGCAAAATACAAACAGACAGATGTCGACAGTGCCCACTTTAAGACGTATTGTTTTTTTTTCATGTAACTCATCGTAAAATGGACATACACAAATCCCGTAAGAACAGCGATCATGCCGGATGTAACTTTTTTCGAATTTATTGGCAAATATATACTAAAGCCTCCCATCTTTCGTATGTTTAGGTTATTTGGCATGTAATTATTATTCTTTGTCTCTATTACCTTCTTTGAGTGTAAGTTAGTATTGAGCTTCGCTTTTTCGTCCTCAGCGTTAAAACAAATAGGTGGAGACGGATTAATGAGAGTAGACGTTTTTAAGTTTGAAAAATACTTGAACTTTGAGGTTTTTTTACAGATTATGTTCAAAGTTTGATTATCATTAACCCAATTCCCGGTTTATGTTTGTCGTGAAGGTTTCAGAGTCAGAATAACCGTAAATTTTGGATCGGATGACACAAAGGGAACTCTGAAACGTACATATCGAGACTTCTAGCACTCCCTATTTTGTTAAGCAAACAACTAGAGTCAACAAAGATACGATAATTGGCTTCTATATCAAATAGACATATGTTATATTTCTGGCGTATGCGTGACTTGAACGCCTGCTGATTTGATTGAGCGATATTTCGACGGAGTCTGTACTTCACCGCAGACAACGTTCAGGGTATGCCGTAAATCTAGGACTTTTCGAAGATCGTTTTAGAAATTTCATTCGTTGATTTTTGTTTAGTACCGTCTCATTTATGAGGTGAGGCGTTGTCTCAACGAAAGAACAGGGTACCTCTCTAACAATCATAGCAAGAATAAAAGCATCTTGACCAAAACGTACACTTGACAAGCAAATCAATAAAATGTTGAACCGGGGAGACGGCGAGCTGCAAATGATGTCAATCGTAGGAGATCCGCCATCCGTAACGTTTGATTGACTAAAAAATAAGCTTAAAAAATGTATAAAGCCTTACGCCTCTTTTTGGAGATCCCGTTCCAGGCGAATGTTTTGTTTTTGCCATTTTGTGCCTACGGTAAGCTCAATTGGAGCTGAATGTTGAGGGGCGCAAATTTTTGCGTAAGCCACGATGTTTACTATTTTTCCAACGTTACTTCTGCGTTCAGCCAGCCGGTACCCATCCAACACAATGCGCGGCGCTTGATGGCTCAGAAAAGTTCGCTCAGTAGTCGGTTTAGACTCCTCTATCGAAAAATATCCGTAGTATAGAAGATCGCAACGGAGAGAAAGGGACTTTAGCAACTGCACAAGTTATGCGGCAGATCACCAAAAATGCCTGATAAAAGTGGGCTGTTTTCCTGGCCGGCTGACGAAGCTGATCGTTGCGGCGGTTTTCGACAGCTGTGCAGTTATGCCGTCAGCATTGACGCTACCGACGGTGGTCATGTCGGCACGAAGCGAAAGCGCGTGTTCCAGCACCCGCTACTGGACCAGAACCGCCAAAGGATCTCACGGCAAAGGGCAAGCGTAGATCGGAGAGGAGAATTCCGCCAACGAACGCACAGTTCGAAAATAGCTAGCTAGCCAATAACACAAACCCACTCGGGGTGCAACAGTTACTGATGCTGGAAGCCGCGGCTGCCATTTCGCTTACTTCCGCAGCTGCGCACTTTATAGACGAGCAAATTCTGTCTGGTGCTGGATAGAGAGCGACGCATGGATCTTGCCGTGGCTGTATATTTGGCTGGGCCGCGACTCGAAGGGTCCGTTGCTGTGTGCTCTTAGTTAAGTGTGGGGTGTTGGGCTCGAGCGGTTCTTGTTTCAGGTGTCGTGGGGTAGCGAAATTCGCACACAGTTTTCCTCAAAGCGGCAGCAAAAGCATCTTTTAGCGGCAATCAAGTGCAACCTAACGGACTCTCTGTTGGGGACAAGTGACGAAGAACGTGAACAAGACTCGCAATCAAGTGTCTTTTGCGTCCAGATCTGTGGCACACACTTCGTTCAATCGACGCTGTTTCGTTTTTAGATACAACTGTTTAGTGGTGAGTTAAAAAAAAAAACTACGTTTCGCATTTCGATGGATTTCTGCTGTTGAAACCCCCTCCCCCTCCCACACACACTTTCCTATCGGTCAGCTGAAGAACAAGGGAATGACTTGAGCTGGATAGAGTGAAGAAGTACTTTCCCCCATAGTTCAAGCACTGGAGTATTTTCTATAATTAGATTCCTTACGTGCAGTACCGGACATAAAACTCATTTTACTATGCAAGTCGGATATGTGTTTTCTCGGTGGACCACGTAGTTCATGACGGACAAATTGCATCGATCTGAATGTGGGTCATATCCCAATGGCCGATCCATCTGTGAAAATTTAATTTCCGGATGATTCCGTTATCACCAGTATGTGTCACATTTAGATATTCGTTATTTCGGCAAGAAGCCTAAGCATTGCTAAAATTTTCGGTGAACTGCTCAGTTACACACAATGAAATTCTGCTAAATCCAAATATTTTTTGGGCTGTAGAAACAACTGAATAGACGTGCTTAGGTATATTACGCGTAAAAAAAAGATAGAGCCATTTGAGCATATAGGAATGCATTGACTGTAGCAACGTTACGCCGCACATATTTCAATCACTTAATCCTAATAATAAAAGTCGTAGTAAAAGTGAACCATAATGTCGAGTGATTACCTTGAGTCTTCGTGCGTACTCCTTATGGCCAATTTCAGCTCTAACGAATGATGTCCGTAATGTACAAATTTTATTTCTTCTATGTTACAAATACCCTAATGCGGCGGTATATGTCAATCACACATATAAACGTGACAATTTTAGCTGCTAAGTTTAACCTGGCTGATGCCAGTGACAGGATTGTATGCAGTATCGCACCGAATATATTCGGCTGCAGAGGGCAAACTTCTGTAACTTACTTGCACAGTTGTTGTGTCTGGGAACGGTGTTAACTACCAATATTAAGAGAGTCTATCGTATATAAATGGGTGAAAATGTTTTTGCCTCGATCAGAGCAGAAACGGCTTACGAGTTTGTCACTTTTCGTCAACTGATTCTGATACTGGCGACGGCATATCTGGACGTCTAAGGGAAATATGAATTTCACTTTGGTTTTAGTTGAATCCATCAACAAATCCGCCTAGATAATGCAGCGACTAGAGTGTATAGTTATACTTTTACGTAGTTGTATTATAAACTGACGAGGAATAAAAGATAGAAACCTTTTCCAAAGAACAGCACAAGCCTCACATGATAGCAACACGATAAAGGGTAAACCTCTAAACCAGTCTATCACCAGGCTAAGCTCAAGTAGTAAAGCAAGTAAGAAGTGCAATTGTGAATTCGGCAAATATTTGCCGTATGGTATTATGGGGCATCAACAAGGAACAGCCAGCAAATTGCGCCTTGATTCATGGAGACAGGGGGTTTGTGTCTGGACGAATAATACCTAAGTTTGCTGGAGATCATTCACTGAGTGGCGATTATGGCACATTTTGCCAAAATCATATGTTTCCAAGTAGTTGACTTTCTGAACGCTACTGATGTATTTAAGGTCTCATCGCACAACTGGCATCTGGGGCCATACGCTGTATAAGGGCTATGCTAAGTTAGAAAATACAATGCATTCGTTTTTAGTTGCAATTTTAAACTTATTTTATATCATCACAGAGCTGAGATATGTTCCTCGCTCGAGCGACGTAGCTAGAAGTTCTACAATATCGGCTGAGGCCTGATACATTTGATCGTACGATCGCCTGTGTACCGCCATTTTGTCGCCAGCCTCGTTTTTTCTGGTCCGATTTTCTGGTTTTCAGCAAAGCTAAAACTGAATTTGCTCGTTCGTTAACATCAGAGGCGCCATATCGATTTAGCAATTAAATTGTTCTTGGTAGTCATCTTCGCTCAATCAAGGGAGCTATCATTAAAAATATAAGGACAATACCTTAAAACTGATATATGACATATATATAATGAACGTTGCTTTTATTGCCAGTTATAATAAGTTATCAAGAGTAAGTAGACAGCATAAGACTAAAGGTCCTCATATTGTTAAAGCGACTTAATTCACTTAGTTTGTTAAGAAGTCTTCGACACAAGTTGTGTGTGAATAGAAAAAGTAAACAGCAGAGTTCCCTTAAGAGTTTTCAAATTTTGACTCATCTGTCAACGGTTAATGAGGCAAACAGTATCAAAAATCTGCTCAGACTTCTTTATACCGAATACTACACGACACCGTACACTACGACGTCATTAGGGCTTTAATGGTAACTTTACTGTGTCTGTTAGAATATAATTTATCTTGTGTCGCGAGCTAGCTGTCAGAAATAATGGATGACGGCACGTGTTAATCACTGAACTCGACATATCTGAACGATGAGTGCTTAAAATTCTGCACGAGGACTGAAGCTGACGTGCTGCATCTTACGAGTATATTTATCTGCCCATTTGTCAGCTATCATACGTCCTCAACATAACATTATATTAATTCCGCTTACTGGGATCCAGGCCTTTACATTGCGGGTCCATGTATTGAATCATAAGCCAAAACCTTCGTAGACTAAACTGACTGACCATGGCCACGTTCGACGTTTCCTGTGTTTTACCAACAGTCGAGTATCAATAGATGAAGTTAACTAGACGCTGCTTATCTTGCGTCGCACTGTTGGACAATGGTCATTGTTACTTTTGAGAACAAATTATTTAATTCTGTTTTTAACTTAGTCTTGATAAATTAATGAATTATGCTATCAGTACATTCCTCCCCCTACACCAACTATAATATTGGAACACGTTTCAGCTTGACACGTCCGGCTGTCTACCTTTAAGTAAAAGACATGCCATGCTGTTTCGTGCCGCACGCCGTTATACTTTGTTGCATCACGACAGTGAGTTTATTTGCCTTAGAACAACAAAGTTTTCTCAAGAGTATTTATCTCTATTCGAGTAGAACACTTTATCACGACGCTAAATAACAGCATAATAAAATGATCTAGCTTAAACATACACACGTAAAGAATACTTTTTCCCACTAAAGTAGTACCATTGTTCTGGTGCCGTTTAACAGATACGACCATGGCCTAATTCCAATGGGGAGTGAACGAAGGGATGGTTAATTAGTTGGAACTAGTTGATTCAAACTTGTATAGGCATCCCAATATAGCGGCTAGGCACTTTTCAACGGATCTTCCAAAAATATCAATGCAACCTCCATATCAGTGTTCAAATGCTCGACGGCAAATGGGTAACCAGAAACAGCCTTGTTAGGTTCAGTCGGTCGTAAAGTTTCAATCATACCTAAAAGTAGAACATTACGTGAGTTATTTCATCGTAAATAATCGCTCCCGTGACCATGTTACGTTGCTAACGATTCGTGGTCACATGCCTCCTCGTGCAGTTTTAATAACGGTAAATACATTGTTGACATGCAGATTGTGACAGCTAATTTCTGGAACCAAAATACACGGATTGCTCTCACGATCAAAATCGAAAGTATATATATCGGTGCATTCTGCTTTGGCGGGCAATTTCTGTCATGGCGGCGGATTTGAGCAGCATACGATTTGGCCAAGCAGACGTTTATTCTACTGGCCATGACGTTACACGGAAGAGAAAACAATAGGTAAACCGCTATCTATTTTCGACCCTTTACAGGTAGTCTGACTTGCAGGTGGCCCTGTATTTAGCATAAGTATTGCTATAGTAATGATAATCAGAAGCAGACTGCTTTGTAGCCAATGGGCGGCGAGTTCTTTTAGAATTCATGACCTCGATGCTGCATCATCGTTTTACCAGTTGCCCGCGAACTCTTTGCTGAAAGTAGCTAGTATAGAAATAACAAATATTCCTTCTAAGATAAAAGAAAGGCACTTGAAGACTTCCCAAGCCGGTTACACTCGTTTGGAAAGGTAGCAAAGAAATGCTGGATTCTTTCTGCGAACGTTTCAGAGGATTTATGTGTAGGGCTCCAACTTAATTAGCCGGGAAAACTCTTTGGTGCTTGCTTTAAGAAACTCAATTTTTTTTTTAAGTCAAATTTCGTTGAAGCAAAGCCCCCTTTTTAGGTTCGGCCAATTTCTGTTCTATTCAGATTTCTAGTGAGACAGTCGTATTGTTTAGAAAAATTGTTTGAGTGCTCGATCTTGTTTTGTTAGAAGATACAGGTTTTGGATGAAAAAATCTGCTTAAATATGGGGCTCGAAAAGCGGCTAGAGGTGGCACTTTTTCGGCCATTTTCCGGTTGCAAAGTGTTGCAGCCTTGTTGACACCTCGTATGCGAATCAGTTGGGTCGTGGGTCTAGCGAACCCATTCTTTGCATAAGTGTAAATACCTTACTTCCTTTATAGCTACCATTTAGACGTCTGTCAAATTTTACGTCTCAGGTGATTCACAATTTGCAATTTACATTCCTCATCTGTAAGCGGAAAAGCTTAGAAAAACTACCGCACAAAGTTCAAGGCCCAATGTTTCGAACAGCTCGCCATGAAGTTCACGGTTACCAGAATCTGCAGTTTACTGGACATAATGAGCTGTTGTGCTAGTAAGACAGGCAGAAAGATTGTCACAATACAAATTAATTTTTATTCTGTGCTAATTATTCTTAGAAAAGAAAATACTTTAAACATGTATGCGTATTTGAATCTGGATAATTATGGGTTTTAATCGTTTTGCTAGTTGCTGTGTGCGGTGAATAGACACTCCTATAGAAAGATGTAGTACCTAAATAGGTTAGGCGTATGTAAGCAGACATTATATATATATATATATATATGCGATAGAAATAGCCATATGTTCTCCAGTTTCTGATGGGAGACCATCTTCAGTTTTGGAAACACGAAAAACGGCATTACTTCAAAAAATAATAAATAAAAAATATAAAAAAGGCAAAATGGCTCCGATAGATATTCTGAACCTCATTGTCACTATAAACTGCTAACCAAAATTTAAGGGCGCTTAATATCAATCTTAAAAATTGAACATTTTTATGTTTCGATAAAAACCTGTCCATAACCCAATCATACATAGAATT